CACTACTGTTTTTATTGTATAAAACAAAGGGAAATTCTCCCACTCGCATGATGTAGACAATTGAAAGGATGCATTAGCGCCCGTTCAACTGCTCAGAATAAATAAGACCATATCCAATGGTTAAAATTTATTTCTATTTTTTATTCTTATATTTTATTCAAGTATTCTGTTTAAATGAAATTTAGGGCATAAATTAATTTTTATAAGGGGAATAAAATAAAAAAAAAAGAAAAGTGTATTTAGGTCAATAAGTCTTTTTGAAAAATAAAAATGTCTTTTTAATAATTTTTATTTGGGTCCCTTGGGAAAATTAATTTACACATTAAATTTGGGATAAATATAATTTTAAAATAAAACAAAAAATAAAATTATTTTGTAGCTTTTAGATGAGGCTAGGTTGAATCTGCATTATTGAAGGGTGCTTGTGTACCCTTAGACTCTATATCATCCCTAAAATTAATACTTTATAGTTGTTGATTCATCCAACATTCCCAAACCGGAAAATTCTACACAAGGCGTCAACTTTATATGGACATGAAAAAAAGAAAAAGAAGTCGAAGTCCTAAAAGTAGTGCACCTTCAAACATAATATCTCTAGACCGTCAATTTTCAAGATCTTTAAACCAACCTGCACTACTTTTGAAAATTTAGATTTCATAATTGAATGTGAAAATAAAATTTCAAGCTATCGTAAGAATTTCTTGCACCAAAATCCATCTTCACGCGCAAAGCGTACCGATTTTTGATGTCTTTTTAAAGTTTTTAACACCGCATTTATATCTTCCAACAAAATTTAGAGATGGGCATTTACTGTAGAACAATTGTTTCGTGTGGGCTAGACCGCATTTTTTCAATATGCGGTCTAGAGGTATAAAGGATTCATCTTAAAGATGGATGGAATTAGGTGGCTCATTTGAAACGGATCAAATGTTTTTTTAATATATTTATTATTTTTAAAAAAAATTTCTAAAAATTATATATTATCTAAAATTTAAAATCAAATTATATTTTAAAAATATATTTATTGTCAAGCCGGCAGGGTGGCCGAGTACTAACCGGGTCCTTTCTTGTATGGTATAAGCTAGGCACTTATACAAACGTCACCCTAGAAAAGAGCCTCGACCGAGAGCCGCAACTTTCTCAGTTGAAATAGTAAATTGGAGAGACGACGGGTGTCTCACCTCGATTTCCCCTCTTTACTGTAGCTCGCCCAGAAACAAACACGGTAAGCTACACTCCCTGAGAAAGTGAGGGATTTTCCCTTCTTCTATTTTCCCAGAAAGCTTCTGTTTTCCCAATCATCCAACGCTACCTCCGTGCGCACACGTGCTTCCCAACGGTCCTGATGTTTCCTCCGGAGTGGAGACGACTCGTGAAAAAGCATGAGAGCGAACTTTCCTATGAGTGAGAAAATGGAGGACAGTAATATGAGAGAGAGACAGAGAGAGAGCAAAGATGACTTCATAAACTCTTCCCAGACAGAGAGAGATTGGGCTAGAGAGAGCAAAGATGACTTCATAAACTCTTCCCAGTCAGAGAGAGAGCAAAGATGACTTCATTGACTCTTCCCATCTGTGTGTCTAACTCTTCTACCCCTAATGTCCTCCAGCTTACAGGGCAGGAATATCTTTCTACACTACAAACCCCCAAAAACTTGAAAGAACTTAAAACCATTCATGCCCAACTCATCAAAACTAGCCTCATAAAAAACCACCTTCTTCTGGGGAAGCTCTTATGCTGTTGCTCCATGTCCAATTCAATGGCTTATGCCCAAAAGGTATTTGATGAAATTCCCAGACCAAATGTGTTCTTCTGCAATGTCATGATCAAAGGGTACTCTGAATCAGGATCAATAAGGCAGGCCATGAATCTCTACTCTCAAATGAGATTTCTCTGTCTAACCCCTGATGCCTTTACATTTCCAGCTGTGCTCAAGTGTTGCTCTGACATGCTAACTCTAAAGGAAGGCAGGGGACTTCATGGGCTTGTTGTGAAACTTTCATATTGTTCTGATGTGATCGTGCAAACGGCGCTCATTGATATGTATTCTGGTTTTGGGTGCTTGACCGATGCCCGTGACGTTTTTGATAGAGTTTTAGAAAGAGATTGTGTTTGCTGGAATACCATGATTACGGTTTATAGCAGATGGGGCGATTCCATTAATGCCCAAAAGCTCTTTGATCGAATGCCTGATAAGAATACTTCGTCTTGGAATACCTTAATGGACATGTATTGTAAGGCTGGGGATATGAGCACTGCATATAGGCTTTTTGAACAGATGCCTAAGAAGGATATTATCTCTTGGAATGCGATCATATCGGGATACACTAGGCTCGGCGACTCCGAAAATGCGAGAAAATTGTTTAATGAGATGCCCAAGAGAAATGTGGTATCATGGAATGTGATGATCACATGCTATGTGCATAATCGACGATTTGCTGGGGCCTTGCAATTATTTAGAGAGATGCAATTCTCAGATGTCAAGCCCAATGAGGTGACAATGGTGTCGGCCCTTCCTGCTTGTGGTCACCTGGGTGCTCTCGATTTAGGCCAATGGATCCACATGTATATCGACAAGAACAGGATCAAGATGGACGTGTATGTGAGCACCGCTCTCATAGATATGTATGGCAAGTGTGGGAGCTTAGATGATGCATGGCATGTTTTCGATAGCATGGCAAACAAAGATGCATTCTCGTGTAGCACCATGATAGAGATCATGGCCATGCATGGTAAAGCCAATGAGGCCATGGCCATATTCTCATACATGAAGGAGTCCGGCATGAAGCCAAATGATGTCACATTTGTGGGGCTATTGAGTGCATGTAGTCATGCTGGTTTAGTAGACGAAGGGCGCCAGTTTTTTGAGATGATGAGTCGAGATTATGGTTTGGTACCTAAGATTGAGCACTATGGCTGCGTGGTGGACTTGCTAGGTCGAGCAGGCTTGCTCGATGAGGCGTATAGGCTCATTGAAACTATGCCGATTGAGCCTCACTCTGTTATATGGGGTGCTTTGCTTAGTGCATGTAGGATACACGGTAATGTTGAGCTTGCGGAGATCGCAGTTTCTCGTTTACTCGAGCTAGAGCCAAATGCATGTGGAAACTATGTGCTTCTTTCTAATATTTATTCGAAGGCGAATAGGTGGGAAGATGCAGCTAGAGTGAGAAAGATGATGAAAGAGAAGGGTGTTCTGAAGAAGCCTGGTTGCAGTTCGATAGAGGTAAACAATGAGGTCTATGAATTTATAGCAGGTGATTATATGCACCCTCGGTGTGGGGAAATCTACCAAATGCTAGACCAAGTGGAGAGAAGGTTGAGAGACCAAGGATATGTGCCCGACACTTCTTCCGCGTTGCATGATGTAGATATTGAAAGGAAGGAGCAAGCATTGGGCTATCACAGTGAGAAGCTAGCTGTTGCTTTTGGGCTAATTAGCAAGGAACAAGGGGCTCCTATACGAATCACAAAGAATCTTCGGGTATGTAGTGATTGCCATGCATTCTTGAAGATGGTATCTCAGTTCTATGGGAGAGAGATCATAGTAAGGGACTGCAACAGGTTTCACCATTTCAATGATGGATTGTGTTCTTGCTCAGAGTACTGGTGATCCACACAGTTGTTTTTTCTTTCCATACAGTAAGAGAAGTGAGACAAATTTTGTACTATCTCAATTTTATTTATTCATAATTAATATCCCATTATTCATAATTTATATGGATCAAATGAGGGTTCATGCATGAAAATCTGGAATTTACACAAAGGAGAATTCCATAACTTACATGAGATCTATTGTTCCAGCTTGTCACAAAGAATATAAATCAAAAAACCCGAAATGTATCATTTCACCAAAAGTCCCTACAAGAACAAGTTCCATCCTTGAAATGGTGGAATCGATTCCGATCCCGTACAATGATCTCCCGATCATAAATCTTCGAAATCAACTTTGTGGCCTCGTGGCAATCCCCACAAGCCCGAAGATTTTTCACCACCCTTATAGTGCTCCCAGGACTCGTGCTAATGAGCCCAAATGCTATTGCCAGCTTCTCACTATGATGGCATAACGCACTTTCCCTCTCCTCCTCATCTATGTTTTGCAGCACAAAACTTGTCCTTGGAATGTATCCTTCCTCCCTCAACCTCGCTGCCACATCCTCCAACACCGAGTATATCTCCTTTGATTGTGGGTGCAACGCATCTCCAACCATAAATTCATGGACCACATTATTCACCTCTATTGAACTGCAACCTGGGGTTTTCTCGATTCCTCTGTCTTTCATAAACCTTCTAACCTTTGCTACATCATCCCATCGACAAGAGGCGGCATATATATTTGACATTAGCACATAATTCCCATCATTCAACGGCTCCAATTCAATAAGGTGCTCCATGACAATCTCAGCTAATTCTACATTACTGTGAGCATGACAAGCATTAAGCAAGGCACCCCAAACTGCCCCATTTGGTTTCATGGGCATCTTTTTCACAGTCTTATAGGCCTCATTTAAGTGGCCTGACCTTCCAAGAAGGTCCACCAAGCATCCATAGTGCTTAATGCTAGGCACAATTCCATAATCTATCTCCATTGCATAGAAATACTCTTTGCCTTTATCCACTAAACCAGAGTGAGTGCATGCACATAGCAAACCAATAAAAGTTATATCATCTGGCTTTAGATCACTAGCAAGCATGAGTGAAAAAAGCTCTAGGGCCTTTTCACCTAGGCCATGGATGGCTAGGCCCCCAATCATTGCATTCCACATAAAAGCACTTCTTTTATCATCCATATCTTCAAAAACTCTAAGTGCTTTCTTTATGTATCCACATTTAACATACATGTCTAGGAGAGCAGTGCCCAAAGCTGCATTAAAATCAATCCTATTCATATTCCTATCAATGTACCCATGAACCCATTTGCCCATCTCCACTGCACCAAGGTGAGCACAAGCACAGAGGACATTAACCAGAGTGACCCCATTTGGCTCAACCTCACCAACCTGCATCTCATGAAACAATCCCAATGCTTCATCAAACCTCTTTGCTTGCACATAACCAGTAGTCATGGCAGTCCAAGAAACCACATTTCTCTCAGGCATCTTATTGAAAACTTTTCTTGCCAGTTCCAATTCCCCAATGCCCAAGTAGAAGGTGACCAAAGAAGTTTGCGAGTACACATCGGACGAGGAAACACTGGTTTTTAAGATTTGGCCATGAATTTGTTTCCCTAGAGAGAGAGACTCGCATGCCTTGAGGAGAAAGGGGAAGGTGAAATCATCAGGGTTTGGGCCTTTGTGCAGCAACTCTAGATAGAGAAGGATTCCTTCTTTACGGGAATTGTTTGATGCATAAGCTCTTATCATAGTGTTGTATAGAAAGACGGTTGGTTCGGGAATTTGGTCGAAGACTTTGCGTGCAAAGTCTATGTGGGTTAGACTGCAACTAGTTTGAATGAGTTTGTTTAGGAGAATTCGGGTGTTGGGGGGTGGGTTTTTGATGATATGAGCATGGATTTGCTTGAGTTGGTTAAGATTTTCGCAATTTTGAAGTAGAGAGAGAAATGGAGATTGGGGTTCATGGGACTTGCAGGGGAGAATTGGGTGAGGGATCTCAGTTGGGGCAAGAGAGAGAGGCGGGTTTATGCGGCTTGCAACGGTCAGCATTTTCAGAGAGAGAGAGATTAATGGGGGCTGTGATGCGAGAGAGAGAGAGAGAGAGAGAGAGAGAACGAATAATAGAAAGAAACTAAGAGAAAGGGATCCCAGTAAAATATATATTTGCAAATAAAAACGAGAGACAAATTAGTGATAAACTATGAGGAAGTGAAGCAAAGAACACGAGTCAGGTGAATTATGCAGAGAGAGTGTGTTACGGGTGTTTAACTGACTTGACTTTGCACAATTGAGAGAGAGAATGGGGCACGTTGCAACTAACGACCGAGACTGTATGCTGCATTTCCTGCTCTCTCTACTTCCCCAACAAGTGTTTGCGTGGGAATTATGGAACATTGCTCACAATTGTTTCTTTTTCCTTATTTTCACCGGGTAAATGGTTTGATGGGGCCGCAGCCCTATGAAAAATTATGCCTCACCTCATAATTTATCGAATATTGCAATTCAAGCATAAAAAAATAACCTTTATATCGATCATCTCGGCTTAAAGATTACACTTGCTAAAAAAAAAAAAAGATTTCGAGTTCTAAAAATAGAGTATATTATGACAAATTATCTAGATTGTCCATTTCGCTTTAAAAATAAGTGTTCAATGATCCGTATTACTATTTGAGTTTCAAATATTATTTTTGATGTTGAAAATCGATTTTAGAGCCATCATGGAGATTTCTATTGCCAAAAGTGCTTTCCAAATGAGGATTTGAGGTAATGCTTTATTTTGTTTTCATAAATCTCGGTGCCCACAATCCATACTGTGTGGGTGTACCTAGCTCGGGCTTCTTACATGCTCTTGCCTAAGCGTACACCTCGGCCCCTTTGCAATGAAAAAGGTTATACAAGGTTGCCAACTTTGTGTTATAGAAGTGAGGCGATTCTTAAAAATATAGTAATAAAGAGTATTTTGAAATTGGGAATAAGTCAAACAAGTCCAAAACAAAATTTTTTGAACTATGTGACACAACAATATAGTTTTATATCGGATGGGTAAAGGTAATTATAACTTTTTTGTACCAAAAGTGAAATGATGTTATACTATACAATACTAGTTAAAAAAAGGCTTTAGGCTTTTGTTGAAGGGTGTGTGATTTGTATAAGGCCGAGGCCCTAAACAATCAAAGTAATACGCATTTTGAAATAGTGTTGAAAGATATTGTTTTAGTATTGAAAATCTTGGTGAATATTTGAAAATTTATTTTCATCTCTAAATAAAGAATTTAAAACTTAAAAACTAGTATAAATCGAGCAATTCCATGAACACACTTGATAATCTTGAAACTTGAAGGTCCAAAAAATGCATGCATTATTTTTAAGACTTAGAAATCTATTTATTCTCATATTCATACATCTTGAGATTGAAATGATCGATTTGAAGATCTTTTAGCATCAAACAACTTCTTCTAATGAAATTTTGTGATGCTTAATTTAATTGTTTAGAGCCTCACCCTTATATAAACTTTTTCCTTTATTGATATATTATAGACATGAGGAGCATCCGGTGTAAATTCACAAATGCAAATGTTTGAAGATTAGTTACAATTCAGGTCATGGTCATTCAACTAGAATTACAATTAATACCTGTTGATCATCCTGAGAATAGACGATAGATGTTCCATTGTATATATCTTTAGACACTTCCCTTGAAGAGAAATATAGTCTTGTTATGTAAGCAAGAGACACTATGATCCATTAATGCTATATTTGTTCATTATGTGGTTATATTACACCATACCTCCACCTCTCTCTTTATACCCGCATCATTGACACACGAGTAGGTTGTACCGCATGTTTTTAAAATTTATTTATATTAATGTAACAAATTTAAATCATGTGTGTTTAAATGGCCTTACGATAAATCATGATGCATATGTTGCAGCGTGATTAATGTAGCAAATTTAAGTCGTGCGTTTGTCATATGTGTTGGCTCTACTATAAGTCCTGATGCACATATTGTACCGTAATGCATACGTTGAAGCACGATTGGGGTTCAAATCTCACCGGTGATTCTCACTTTGTAAACACTGTCATTATTTATTATAGACAAGCTTTTTATGTTTTTTCTACAACATAAAAGTTCTATCCTCCCTTTTGTCCAACCGTTAATTTTGAATTATTTTTTTTATAACTATTTTAACATCAAATTTTAGATGTTCATTCCTCAAATAAACCCGCACTAGTGGAAAATATAAAAAAAATATTTTCAATAAAATAAAATGACCAAAATACCCTTAAAAGTTTCATGGGGTATTTTAGTCATCATATTTTATCAAAAAATTATTTTTAATATTTTTTATAGATGCACCCTAATGAGAAGATGGCACATACCAAATTCATATTCATATAATTTGTGTAAAAATAAAATAAAAATAAAATACTTTGAGATGTCGGATCTAAGAATGAAAGGTGAGTGACTCTCTTTATCAAAATTAGATGGCGGGATGGTAGGAAGTGGATAGAACTTCTATGCTACGGGAGAAGTATAGAAACCTTTACCTTTTTTTATATGACTGAAGATAATTCCCCCAAAAAAAAATAAAAAACATAGCCCTCGAGAATTAAACTCTACACCTCTTACCTCTTATAGAGAGCGACTTTTATGTCAGGGGGGCCTAACACACATGCCATTAACCTTTTCATTGAAAAAGCTGCGCGCAAATTATATATCTAACGTTTCTGTGCCCATTGTCTTTAAAACAAAAGGTGCGCTAGACTCAGGCAACTTACTCGAACTCGCCTGAGTAACTCCCTCGGCCAAGACCCCAGTAACTTGGCCGAGTCAATTTTCTACGCACTGCCCACAACAGATAAAGAAGTGCTTCCCTCAATGCCACGCTGACAAATAATTCCACACTGATAAATAATCTACATCCATGTATGTAAAACCTTGAAGGCCAGACACCTCTCTCGATCTAAAACCCTCTCTCTCTCTCTCTAGGAAGAGTTCCAAGCGCCTTGGAAGAGGTGCATTACTGTTCTTCCCAGCACCCATTCTAAATCTGAGGGTGATAAAGGCACCTGGCTCGCAATATAAGACACTGCATCCTTTGCTTCTCTGTAGCCACATTCTGGAACCACATAAGGAAAGTCACTGCAACAACAAATCAATGGAAGAGAGAGAAGGATGGGTCAGTTATATACCACCAAGTACGAACAATACAGTTCGATTCAAGCACAATCAAGAACATCTAAAGCTTTTATAAGGAAAATAAAAACAAATATAGAAGCACTCTTCAAATTTTTGCTTCAAAATTACCTGCCCCACATGACACGGTTTGCACCATAGCTGGAAATCAGTTGAGAGAGAAGGGGAGATAAATCTTCAAAAGGATGAAATTTCCTTGAAACTCGAAACAGAGCACTGAATTTTAAATAAACCTGGGCATGATGTAACGGAGCATATGTCATCTTCTCGAAAGAGGCGGTATGTTTGATTAAGAGCATATATTATGATAATGTCAGAGAGAAGATCAGATAATTATCCGAACATGGCAGCCTTCTTTTCTTCTTTTTAATCAAAATTCCTATGCCTTATGCTTATTTCATGCTTGGTTTGCTGATATATGCAGCTCCCCTCACTTTCAAATATCTTAGTAAACATAATCCTTTGATAGAAACAAGAGCTGAGGACTACTCAAAACTATGAACATCTTATAGAACAGTAATTTATCAAAGGAGGCATCTGAAATTAAAAATGTAACTCAGGTTTGTTGAATTCCTTTGTTCACAAGGAAAATAAGACTCCGTGTCGGCTTCAACATTCGCAAGATTGACCAGCTAGAGAGAGGCTTCTGTAACACAAATGCCTACCTGAGGAAACCTCGATAAGTTCAGAAGATCCGAGAAGACCTTTTTTTCCTTATCGCTTCTGCAAGATAAAGACAATATTGAAGATCATACATGGGCTTCCTTGAGTGATTATTAAATGCATTCCAAAGAGGAAAATGTTGGGAATTCACTCACGTGGGTGGCTTGCAGAAACCCAAATGATCAAGTATAACTTTTGTAGAAGGAAATGATGTGCACAGCTCCTCAATCTCGGCAAGATGCAGATCAAGGCCCTGCAAAAAATTTTAGATTATTAGATGCACATAAACAATGGATGTTACTATCTTGAACCAAATTCCAAACCTTTTCTAGGAGTGACATAGAAGATTCAGTGTCATATGATACCATTCTTTCAATGATATAGTGATAATTAAAATATCTCAATGGTAAGATGTGCCCAAAATTTTGACATTAGTAGTTACAACATTGAGTTGGAGCTAAGGAATGAGGCAACAGATTTCATAGGTTCTAACTTTGTATCTGCAAAATCAAACAAACCTACTGATAAACTATTTTGATAAACTGTTTGACAAAAAAAGAAAAAAAAACAATATTTCAACTATGATAAACATGAGGTAAAACAAATCATGTCCATGAGAACTTCTCTTATCCTTGTTTCATGAGTTAGTGGTACAAGAAAAATGGGGAAATAGTTAGACCAAAGTAAACAGGAGACCGTCATACACATCTTGCCCACTGGTAGATGATACATCACATGGACTATTCTTTCCTTTTCCTTTTTATTGTTATATAAGTGCTTGATAGAAAGAAAAGGTGAAGTTTCCTGCTACTCGTCAATGATATAGAGAGAAAAAAGAAATGTTTTTATGATTGAGAAGCAAGGTTAGAACAGCACACCTTCATACACAGAAAGCCTATTGGTACTCCAAGTTCTCCAGCTTTTGAGAACAATCCCCTCCCAATTTCATTTGTCATCTGAACGGTCAAAATAGAGCTGGATTAAATGTATGTCATTGCCTGGCTCATTCCTATGATAATATCAGTGAAGAACCTCAAATGTTTCTTAGTGGAATAGCATGCCTTAATAAAGCCTACGATATGTTTCCAACCAATGAATATACCATTAAGATCATTTAATGTAATGAGGAGAGAAGATCCAATGTAATGAGCCCTTGAGAAGAAGCATACCTTCTGTCCAGATGGCCATAAATTTGGGTTGAAGCGGACTGCACGGTATCCATCCTAGAAAGAAAATGACCAACTACCAGATAAATTCCAAAGAAGAGGCCAACAATTCTAGTTTTGGTTTCCCTCACCAATGATATATCAGCTTTGATAGGATCCAAGTATGTCATCTATAAGTTATTTTTTCTCTCTTAGACAACAACTGAAGGGACTAGTATTACTATTTTCTCTAGTATTACTCTTATTACTGCTGATGATAAAGGGGCTGTCACTTGGTGTGACGGTAAAAGGCTCGGGTAGCCAGTGCAGGAGCATGGGTTCGGGTCCTAAGAGCGGCCACTTTGAGCATAAGCCAAATGTTAGGACCGTTTCCAGCCCACCCCTCCCGGGGCCTTGCTTAGGGGGATCAGCATTGGATTACGGCCCTTTTTTTTTTATTGCTGATGATAATGTTATAAGTGGACATGATGCTTGTAATGACCTTCAAAACAAGATTCTCGCACTCATTAATTCCGGTTCCGTCTTCTGCAGGATTTGCAAGCAAGCACCCTATAAATTTGGAAGGATGTTTCTTCAAGACACTGTTGCATCACAAAGAGAACTAACTAAGAAAACTATTTCTTGGAGAGAAGTTGACATTCCTAAGATGTAAAATAAAACAATCATTCATGTCAGCATAACCATCTAAGTGGTGTGTCGATGGAAAGAGAAAAGAAAAAGAAAATATACACCCTCATGTTAAGATCAATTTGCAGTCATGAGTTTAATTCTGTCAACTTCCTTGAAGAAAAGGTTCGCATGTAACACCACCAGCCAAAAAGTGCTAAAATTAATTAATACATTCTTAAGGGCATGTTTGATTGGTGAAACTTTTTGGGAGCAGAAGACCCAAGTTCCACCAATTCGTCCTCCCATGCTCGTTGCGGAGCATGGAATCTGCACAATGGCAGTGTGGCATTCCACGCTCAATGTAAAAATGCCCCATGTTGGAAGGGTCCTACCAGGATTTATTGGAAGATGCTCCTCTTCCACACGATAGTAGGATTTATTGGAAGATGCTCCTCTTCCACACGATATGATAGATTGTCAAACATGCCCTCAAGGAAAATTAGGCCTTGAGAGCAATTGAATTTACATCTCAAACCAAGAAAAATAAAACCTTCAGAAAGTAAATATAGTAGCTCAAGTTAACAATTTATCTAACTAACCTTGTCACCAAAGAATGATCAAACAGATGATTAATTGGCTGCACAATTAGAGCTCCATCAACTCCTGCCTCTTCCATACACTGTTAAAAAGAAAGTAATAACTACGTAAATGACAATTTAAGATCTTTTTGCTTCAAAAATACATCAAATAACTCATTTGTAATCAAAACAAATACATAAGGTAATCTGGATAGATCGACTCTTTCGAGCATGAAAGATGCATGAATTCCTTTTGCATCATAAGAATCTATCATGCAGGCCACAACAAAACTTCCCATTTGTTAAATGCTAACCAATACACTACTTGGTTCAATAAATTGTTAATTTCTGGTGGTAGAATCATCTCACATGTATGATACATTTGGCAAACCTAAAACTTCCCAAGATAAATTCAGCAGTATACTACAGATTAATAAAGAAAAGGGTCACCTGTGCTAGCTATAAATTGGACAGTACATATATCTGCCAGAGGTTACTTATCAAGCAAATAATTTGAAAACCTTGTGAATATAAAACAAGATTGCAGTTCGCCTTGTTCAAGCTTCTTTGGGACAAACTTCAAGGATTTGAACCCTCGACCTCCCATACCCAAACTAGAATGTCAAACGCTAACCCGAAGCCTAAGTGACAAAACCTTGTCAATATGACCAGTCCTGTAAACAGTCAAATTTTAGGTTTGTAGCCCAGGCACAATCCTCACAAAGTGACTTTTAGTGTGATTCAGTTTTCAAATTTGTAACTTATGTATCCAAGTCTCCTTCATGAATATCAAGAAGCTCTATGATTTCTCAGATGCTCCAATCCTTCAAGTCTACAAAATCCAACATTAATGCTGCCATTGCTTACTATAGTTTGAAATTTTGACATAATTTTCAATATGGGTAAAAAAAAATTCTGGATCAATTTTTTTTCGCCATATGGAAGAAAGCAATGGAAGTGAAAAAACATACTGCCCCAAAATCCAAACTCAGTGAATGGTGAATTGAATTTTAGAAGACCAAAAACTCACTATACCAAGGTATAGCAAGCAAAAAGCTGGAAGAAACAAGAGGCTGGAGAGGGGGGGGGGGGGGGGGGGGAGGGGGAAACATAAAACTGATCAGAAATAATAGTTAAAAAAAACTCATTTAAATTAAAAATGGTAGAATAAAGAAATGTATTGGGGAAGACTGAAATCAACTCAGCAAAATCCAGATTTTTTAAGCAAAAGTGACAAACCAAATTCCTACCAAATGGACCATAAGTTGTAAACAAAGTGCCATAATTCATGAAAATTATCATTGAGGGGATCTTGGTTTAAATTTTGATAGCATCATTTTCTTTGTTTTCTTTTCTATTTATTGCCTAATTTCTGCCCTCCTAGCTGTGATACAGGGACTCAAAGTTGGAAAACTGGTGTGTGTGTGTGTGTGTGTGTGAGAGAGAGAGAGAGAGAGAGAGAGAGAGAGAGAGGAGAGAGAGAGAGAGAGAGAGAGAGAGAGAGAGAGAGAGAGAGAGAGAGAGAGAGAGAGAGAGAGAGAGAGA